TTTACGAATGTTCCTGTTAAAGTATCACAGCGTCAAGGTGAACTTTATACGGAAATGAGGGGAAGATAACGGTTAACTTTAGCCTTGAACAAGTTAAGATAGTAGTGATCGGGGAAACATCCTCTTAGGAGTCTGGAAAGTGGCTCACATGAAGAAGCTGTTTGAGTGGAACTTACTTCTCGCTGATGGAATACTGGTAGAATGCGCGTGGTTTGCTACTATGTAAGTGGTATGCCCGGTCCTTGCCGAGAAGCTTAGACCTGGCGGGACCAAGTGTTGAAGTTCATTCGAGCACTTTCCATGGAATTAGCGATAGAGCAGTGAGAGGCTCACTACACCCCCCTTGTGAGAGAGAGGTTGGAGGTTAGAAAATAATTATACTCCAACAAGGACTCAGAGACTCTTTTGAACTCTATCAAGACTGAAAAAAGTGAGGACTGGTGTAGATGTACAATTCCTGCGCGCGGTGACGAAGAGGAGCCTGGATTTTCGGCCATATTCTCGTGCACTGTACCAATTTTTTCAGCTGAATGGCGTAAACGAGGACCCAATGGTGTTTTCACATCTGCCACCCACCCAGTTTGTTTGAATTTACGAACAATTTTTCCAATAATACTCTTGAAAATTTGACAAGTTGTTTGATTGTTAATCTTTCCATGGTTGTAATTGCTAAAGTATTAAGTTGTTAAATCTGAAAGAAAAAGAAAAAAAATCATTAGATACTTAAACTTAATTCACATTTAAAACCGATCCAAGTTATTGGAACACCTTTACAAAGACATTGATGGCGGAAATATTTCTTTTTCTTTTTCTACGGAGAGTTAAATTCTATTTAAATACTCTTTTTCTCGCTTTCAGTATAAACCGCGTCTCGTATCTCCCCACATTTTCTCTCTATTTAGCTGCAGCTTCTTTTCAGCCGGGCCTGCAGAATTAAAAAAAAAATGTCAAGGGCCCGATTGATTGGAGAAAATTACCCCCCCCCCCCTGCAAGTGTAAATTACTGAACATCAGTGAGATTGATTTATTTTTTACAGATTATTTAAAGCAAGAAAATATTTTTTAGGATGTAAAAGTTTTTTAAGATAACAATTTATTAACATTCAATTTATTTTTATTCATAAATATATAAGCGTAAGAATCAAACTCATAAATAATTACATTGGTCACACTACTACATGCCTATCAAGACGACTTACGTTGCACCTATCCGATCACAGCTCCATTAGAACCCACTTAAGAACACACGCAAAATTACCAGACTCCATCCGAAATATACTAGTAGAAAATACAAACATAATAACCTCATTGACATGTAACAAAAAGATTAAAAATAATGGAAGCCTTAATAATAAAAAGAAATATTAATTACGAAGACGGCCACAATGTGCTGACTGTGTTCGGAAAATAAAACATCGCAATAACTCTCGATACATACAGACAACCTATACATTTAGTTAAAAAGTAAAAATAAAATCATCCTTGATAATGTCGAAAAGTATAGCCGAAACGCTCGTAATTACAGAATATATGGACAGTTTCTACACAGAAAAGTAAACATTTTTTCGAACGCAAGAAAAAGTAAATAAAAAGCTTAATCATAGTACCTTGTCTGCTGTCTGTAATGAAAGATCTGTAATGAAATATATATATATATATATATATATATATATATATATATATATATAAATGAAGAAATATAGTTTTAAGGTGTGCTATATTTATGGTATAAAATACTCGATATCAGAAATAGAGCGTATGTAAACGTAAATATAAAATATGCTGCCTGACGATTGCGTCTAGCATGAAAACAGCCTGTCGTCTCTCAATGTTGACTTCAATGTTCACTTTTATATATATATATATATATATATATATATATATATATGTGTGTGTGTGTGTTTTTGTATATATATATATATATATATATATATATATATATATATATATATATATAGGCATATATTAATTTAAACATGTTTCATTGAATAATATATGTACAATCTACTTATTTTTATACTGATCCTTTCCAGTTGTCTAATCAGTTTCTTGATGTTGAGATGAAAAAGGTGCAGTAATTATATATATATATATATATATATATATATATATATATATATATACAAACATATATATATATATATATATATATATATATATATATATATGCAAACAAATATATATGTATATACATATACATACACATGTACTTATGCACGCAGCCATATATACACCACAAACATAGGCACGTACCAAAATATACGTACATCTATAAACAAACATATAAAAATAAAATTAATATTCAGAGCTCTAAAAATAATATATATATATATATATATATATATATATATATATATATATATATATATATATATAAATAATTTATCTATCTAAATAATTTATCAATCTAAATAATTTATATATATTATTATTAAAACAAACTGCCCTCAAAATACTCTGAGGATAAAGGAAGTTACCATTAGCCAGAAAGAGGCAGGCATGCAGGAGCGCCTTCCTTTTTTAAATTCTGGATTTAATGTAACTATGAGACCAAAAACATTTCGCTTTCATTGTTTGCCTTGATAAAATCGGAAGACGAAATGCCTCAGAAAAACTCAGATTTTTTCCAATTGCCTTTCTTATAATATATTCTTATAATATATATATATATATATATATATATATATATATATATATATATATATATATATATATATACATACATATATATTGGTACTGCTTGGAAAGACCTTGCATATCGACTTGTAGTAGAACAAACCAGTACCCATGGAAAAATGAGGAATAAAAAAGAAAAGAACTAAGAACATGAAATAGAGGCAAAAGCAATCGTCCAGAATTGAAGGTCAGAGTTCAAAGAAAAAAACTCCAAACGAGTAAAAGGCAACTACGTAAAGTGCTCAATACACGAAGTAGAGCAATCTAATATAAAACTAAAAGAGTTAGGTAAACTACCTAGGTTTTCACCTAAATGGCCCGTCAGGGTAAAACTGGCCAGTTTTTACCCCGACGATCCGTTTATGAAACCTAGGTAGGTTTACCTGGCTCTTAGTTTTATATATATATATATATATATATATATATATATATATATATATATATATATATATATAATGCATATATGTGTGTGAGTTTTGATATGTACCAAAGAACAAAAAGCTAAAATTGTTGTTGAATTTATTTTAATCAATAATTTTCAGTCTTCGATTTATTTTCGTCAAACCAGGACAACTCCACGGTAAACCTAAGAAGTCTCCCAAGATGAATGAATCGATCGTTTTTAATTGATTTAATTGGTAGATATGAGAAAGTTATCAGAAAGCGATGATCAGATTTTTCGAAACTCCAGATTTTTTTATTTAATCCATATTAACATGTATTATCTCCTTTGTATGGATATAAATTCGCTTGTGACTTACACACACACACACACTCACACACATATACAGGTTGCGTCTAAATGACGCAGAAATGAAAATAACACTGACATCTCATTTTAACAGATGTATTTACCAAAATTACACAAAAATATCTTGAAATACTAAAGAGTAAATTTATTCAATAAAATTGACATTGGTTTCAACCATGGCCTCCAGACAACTTCGGAATCTCCTGCATCACTTCTGGACAGTCTCCTTAATTAAGTTGGTGAATGCTTCCATAATCCTTGCCTTCAGTTCATCTTGGGTGTTACAAGGAGTTTTGTTGGTCTCTCACTCAACTGCGACACACGTATAATAATCAAGGGGGTTGCAGCTTGCGAAGTTAGGTGGCTAGATGTAAGAGGTGATGTGGTTGGAGAAATTGTCTGACAGACATAACTGGGTTCTCTTGCTTGTATAGCATGATGCAGAGTCCTCTTGTCAGACTTGTGGTATTCCAGTAGGCACCCTCTTGACCCAGGGCAACATTACCTCCTCAAGGTACTTGATGTAGGCCTCCGTGTTGAGCCTGACTCCCTCACTCACAAATTAGTCTTTTTCTTTCTTATTAATGCGACCAGGGTGAGTTTTTCGAGCTGCCGTACCTTCGTAATCATCATTTGACTCATCCAACTCTTTCCTAATCCCCTGCACTGTTCTCAGATTGACATCCAAACAATGTTAAATATTCGTATTGGAGCTTCCGGCGCGAATTCAAAGCAGTACAACATGCCAATTCCAAATTTCTGGCGAAGTGAATTGCACCATGGTGCTCTTTTTCTCACAGACGTTGCCCAACTGGCCCTACTATACTGTGCAGATGACAAAAACAAACAACGCGCATGCGCTAAATTAAAAATATAAAATGGCGACAATTTACGCATCGCATCTTGTATATATGCGTATATTTAGGCAACATATGTTCATTCAAACATGTTTTATTAGATAATATCTATATTTATTTGTACACTAATCCTTTCTAGTTCTCTAATTAGCTTCTTGGTGTTAAGTTAAAATTCATCAAGAAAGGCGCCGTAGTTTTTCCTTACCCAAGAACATTCGATCTCCTCCGAGATCATTCTTAGGGATTTTTTGCAAAGACAAACTTATTATAACTGTAATCATTTTGACAATGATTTTTGAAAACACGCGTAAACGCGCTCTGATATAATTATTTTAATTTTTAAATTTATCAGTTGTAACTATGGTGATTTTTCTTCAAAACAAGCGTTCCAATGTAAGGGGGCTAACCAGAAATGGTAGAAATGCAAAATAACATCAAATGTTAGTTAAATGCTTTTTAAAACGTTGCTGCTATATTTTTATCAATGCAGGGGTGGATCTAAAGCAGGCATATAGAACATTATACAATGAGAATGTCAGATCAAAATTCAAATTCAAATCAGGTTACTGTTGTCCGGGGATATGTATCATTCTACAATTGAGTTCATTCAAAACTGTCTGACACTTGTAGTCTTGTGCCAGATTCAATTTATCTAATTACTATGGCGGTGTTCGTTGGAAAACGACAACGCAATCTGTCCGTGGAGAGGAAAATAATCAATGCTGGTGGGTGATGAGTAGAAAGATACTGGGTATGAAATAATGCGGGGGGGAAGAAAGGTTAAAATAAAAAAAAGAATCGAAGTAATTTGATGAAAATGGAGAAAGAAAGAAAGAAAGGAACAAACAAAAAATTGGTGTCAGAAAGAAGGAAATGGATGAAAGAAAGAAAGAAAGAAAGAAAGAAAAAAGAAAGAAAGAAAGAAAGAAAGAAAGAAAGAAAGAAAGAAAGAAATGGGTGTAAGAAAGAAATAAATGTAAGATAGATAGATAGATAGATAGATAGATAGATAGATAGATAGATAGATAGATAGAAACAGAATAAGAATGATATAGAGAGATAGAGATAAAGTTAGAAAGGAAGAAAAAAAAGAGAGAGAGATGTGTGAAAGAAAGGGTAAATAAAACTTATGACATTGGAAAAAATAAAGAGTTCAAAAAAGAATGAATGAATGATTAAAATTGATTACAATATAAAGAAATGAAAAGAAAGAAAAAAGAAAGAAAAATAAAATGAACTAATGAAAGAAATTTGATGACAATAGAAAGAAAACGAGTAAAATGAAGAAAAAGTGAATGTTGATGACATTGAAAAAGAAAGAAAAGGAAGAATATAAAAGAAGGAATGAAAAAGATAATTTAATGACATGAAAGAAACAATTTAAAAACAAGGAATTAATGAATTTGGGAAATTTGATTACATTGAGAAGGAGAAGGGATTAAAAATGTATTATATAGACAGGTAATGAAAAGACTTATAGATAGATAGATAGATAGATAGATAGATAGATAGATAGATAGATAGATAGATAGATATAGATATGAATAAACTGAGATAGATAGATAGATAGATAGATAGATAGATAGATAGATGAATAAATATGAATAAACTGAGATAGATAGATAGATAGATAGATAGATAGATAGATATGAGATAGATAGATATGAATAAACTGAGATAGATAGATAGATAGATAGATAGATAGATAGATAGATATGAATAAACTGAGATAGATAGATAGATAGATAGATAGATAGAAACAGAATAAGAATGATAGAGAGAGACAGAGATAAAGCTAGACAGATAGATAGATAGATAGATAGATAGATAGATAGATAGATAGATAGATATGAATAAACTGAGATAGATAGATAGATAGATAGATAGATAGATAGATAGATAGATAGATAGAAATAGAAATAGCTAGCTAGCTAGCTAGCTAGATAGATAGATAGATAGATAGATAGAAGGAAAGAATTAGGAAAGAACAGATGAAATTTGTTGACATGGCAAAGTAAAAAGTGTAAAAAGTATTTTAGCATTTGGTGACAAATACGAAAAATGACTGTTATGTCATCCAAAAATTAGGAAAAGTTGATAATGGCTAAAGTGTTCATTCATTTAGAAAAATATACGCGCGCACATTAATTTTCAAGTTCTTCACTGCACTTATTTGTCTAAGAATTTTTCAATCGATTGCTAAAGTATTATTAAAGATTCATATGTGTTCTATATCGATACACGCGCACCCATGTATATGTGTATGCGACTACGTGGAGGATTTTAATGTGAAATGTACTGTAGTTCGTTAAATTTCCGGAAACATTGGGAAGAGAATTTAATCAAGTCAATTCAGGACGGCGTTGAAGAGAAAAAATGACGACCAGAAAGATATCAACGAAATATGATATTAAAAAAAAAAAAAACGTACAAGAAATGAATACGAATTGGTTTTCTCTAATGGGTGAAGACGGGTCAATTCAACTGAACGAGGGGAACTCCTTCTTCATCTTAAATTACGAGTCGCTAGATTTTTGTAACGGACAACAATCTTTTTTTTTAACAGGATATGATTTCCCTTTTACATCGGTAAATAAATGAGATACCTAATTAAATGTAGACAGGGCTAAAGAAATAAAGAGGGATTTTGAGGGTGCTTCTCATAGAATTGCGCTTTAGAAATAATCAGTTCACGTTCGATTTTTACTAGTAGCTTTGTCCTATTTCATATTGCACAAAGCTTAGCAATATTAGAAAGTGCCATTTGCTTTGAGATTGAGTGTGTGAATTGTATTCTCGCGCAATTTTATAGGGAGCCTATTTCTGAACCTGCCGTAAACTCGTATTCACTAACAGCACTCTTCGAAGTTGGTGCATACACTAGGATTATACTGGGATCTATATTTTGCATAATCCGTTTCCACTCTTTATGAAAGAAAGTTAATGACACATGAAAAGATTAACCAAAGAATGAATGTGTCAATCATATTCGCGCATAAATATGTCAGTCAATATAACGAACCCAACTGGAATTGGAACTTGGCTCTCAGATTAACTATTTTGACCCATTAACCATTATACTACCCATACATCCAAGATTACAGCATCTGGTATTTCCACTTGGTCACCTATCTAGGTACTGACCATGTTCGACGTTGCTTAACTTCGGTGATCATACGAGAACTGTTGTTTCAACGCAAGCCTGAAAGAGAGAAATAATTTGGAAAAAAATGAATGAATGAATGAAACCTGATGACAAACTAAGAAAGCGAAAAAAAATTACAAAGAAAGGCTGCAATGAAAAGGCGACATTTTGGAAAGAAAGAAAGAAAGAAGACAAAAACAAATCTGAGAAGAAAGAAAAAAGAAAGAAAGAAAAAAGAGCTAAGAACAAATGAAAAGAAAGAAGACAGATTTGAGAAGAAAGAAAGAATAAAAAAAGAAAGAAAATGAGAAAGAAAGAAAATGAGAAAGAAAGAAATGAGAAGTGAGAAAGAATAAAAAGAAAGAAAAAACAAATTTGAGAAGAAAGAAAGAAAGAAAGAAAGAAAGAAAAGTGAGGTGAGAAGAAATGAAAAGAAAGAAAAAGACGAATTTGAGAAGAAAGAAAGAAAGAAAGAAAGAAAGAAAGAAAAATTGAGAAGAAAAAAAAGAAAGAAAAAGACGAATTTGAGAAGAAAAGAAAGAAAGAAAATTGAGAAAAATGAAAAGAAAGAAAAAGACGAATTTGAGAAAAAGAAAGAAAGAAAGAAAGAAAATTGAGAAGAAATGAAAAGAAAGAAATTAGAAAGAAAGAAAGAAAGAAAGAAAGAAAGAAAATTGAGAAGAAATGAAAAGAAAGAAAAAGACGAATTTGAGAAGAAAGAAAGAAAGAAAGAAAGAAAATTGAGAAGAAATGAAAAGAAAGAAAAAGACGAATTTGAGAAGAAAGAAAGAAAGAAAGAAAGAAAGAAAATTGAGAAGAAATGAAAAGAAAGAAAAAGACGAATTTGAGAAGAAAGAAAGAAAGAAAGAAAGAAAATTGAGAAGAAATGAAAAGAAAGAAAAAGACGAATTTGAGAAGAAAGAAAGAAAGAAAGAAAGAAAGAAAAAAATTGAGAAGAAATGAAAAGAAAGAAAAAGACGAATTTGAGAAGAAAGAAAGAAAGAAAGAAAGAAAATTGAGAAGAAATGAAAAGAAAGAAAAAGACGAATTTGAGAAGAAAGAAAGAAAGAAAAGAAAGAAAAATTGAAAGAAAAAAAGAAAAGAAAAAGACGGATTTGAGAAGAAAAGAAAGAAAAAGAAAAGAAAGAAAATTGAAAGAAAAATGAAAAGAAAAAGAAAAATTTGAGAAGAAAGAAAGAAAGAAAAGAAAGAAAGAAAATTGAAAGAAATGAAAGAAAGAAAAGAAATGAAAAAGAAAGAAAGAAAAGAAAATTTGAAAAGAAAGAAAAAGAAATTTGAAAGAAAAGAAAGAAAAAAAGAAAGAAAAAAGAAAATTGAGAAGAAATGAAAAGAAAGAAAAAAGACGAATTTGAGAAGAAAGAAAAAAGAAAGAAAGAAAGAAAATTGAGAAGAAAATGAAAAGAAAGAAAAAGACGAATTTGAGAAGAAAGAAAGAAAGAAAGAAAGAAAAGAAAATTGAGAAGAAATGAAAAGAAAGAAAAAGACGAATTTGAGAAGAAATGAAAAGAAAGAAAGAAAATTGAGAAGAAATGAAAAGAAAGAAAAAGACGAATTTGAGAAGAAAGAAAGAAAGAAAGAAAGAAAGAAAAGAAAAAAGAAAGAAAATTGAGAAGAAATGAAAAGAAAGAAAAGACGAATTTGAGAAGAAAAAAGAAAGAAAGAAAAGAAAGAAAGAAAAAAAGAAAGAAAAAAAACGAATTTGAGAAGAAAGAAAGAAAGAAAGAAAGAAAGAAAATTGAGAAGAAAGAAAAGAAAGAAAAAAAGAAAAATTGAGAAAAGAAAGAAAGAAAAATTGAGAAAAAATGAAAAGAAAGAAAAAGACGAATTTGAGAAGAAAGAAAAGAAAGAAAGAAAATTGAGAAGAAAATGAAAAGAAAGAAATGAAAGAAAAAAGAAAAAAAAACGAAAATTGAGAAGAAAAAAAAAAAGAAAAAAACAGAATTGAGAAGAAAGAAAGAAAAGAAAGAAAAAGAAAATTGAAAATGAAAAGAAAGAAAAAGAATTTGAGAAGAAAGAAAGAAAGAAAAAAAATGAAAGAAATGAAAAGAAAGAAAAAATTTGAAGAAGAAAAGAAAGAAAAAAATTGACGAAAAGAAAAAAAAAAAGACAATTTGAGAAGAAAGAAAGAAAGAAAGAAAGAAAGAAAGAAAATTGAGAAGAAATGAAAAGAAAGAAAAAGACGAATTTGAGAAGAAAGAAAGAAAGAAAGAAAGAAAATTGAAAATGAAAAGAAAGAAAAGAAATTTGAGAAGAAAGAAAGAAAGAAAGAAAGAAAATTGAGAAGAAGAAAAGAAAGAAAAGACGAATTTGAAAGAAAGAAAGAAAGAAAGAAAATTGAGAAGAAATGAAAAGAAAGAAAAAGACGAATTTGAGAAGAAAGAAAGAAAGAAAGAAAGAAAGAAAATTGAGAAGAAATGAAAAGAAAGAAAAAGACGGATTTGAGAAGAAATGAAAAAATGAAAAGAAAAAAAGACGAATTTGAGAAGAAAAAAAAAAGAAAGAAAGAAAGAAAAAAGAAAATTGAAAGAAATGAAAGAAAGAAAAAAAGAAAGAAAGAGAAGAAAGAAAGAAAAAGAAAGAAAGAAAAGAAAATTGAGAAGAAATGAAAAGAAAGAAAAAGACGAATTTGAGAAGAAATGAAAAGAAAAGAAAAAATACAAATTTGAAAGGAAGAAAAGAAAGAAAGAAAGAAAAAAATTGAGAAGAAAATGAAAAGAAAGAAAAGACGAATTTGAGAAGAAAGAAAGAAAGAAAAGAAAGAAAGAAAAAGAAAATTGTGAAGAAATGAAAAGAAAGAAAAACGAATTTGAGAAGAAAAGAAAGAAAAGAAAGAAAGAAAATTGAGAAGAAATGAAAAGAAAGAAAAAGACGAATTTGAGAAGAAAGAAAGAAAGAAAGAAAGAAAGAAAGAAAATTGAGAAGAAATGAAAAGAAAGAAAAATACGAATTTGAGAAGGAAGAAAGAAAGAAAGAAAGAAAGAAAGAAAATTGAGAAGAAATGAAAAGAAAGAAAAAGACGAATTTGAGAAGAAAGAAAGAAAGAAAGAAAGAAAATTGAGAAGAAATGAAAAGAAAGAAAAAGACGAATTTGAGAAGAAAGAAAGAAAGAAAGAAAATTGAGAAGAAATGAAATTTGAAAAAGAAAGAAAAAAGAAAGAAAAGAAAATTGAGAAGAAATGAAAAGAAAGAAAAGACGAATTTGAGAAGAAAGAAAGAAAGAAAAAGAAAGAAAATTGAGAAGAAATGAAAGAAAGAAAAAGACGAATTTGAGAAGAAAGAAAGAAAAGAAAGAAAGAAAATTGAAAGAAAATGAAAAAGACGAATTTGAGAAGAAAGAAAGAAAAAAATTGAGAAGAAATGAAAAGAAAGAAAAAGACGAATTTGAGAAGAAAGAAAGAAAGAAAAAAAAGAAAATTGAGAAGAAAATGAAAAGAAAGAAAAGACGAATTTGAGAAGAAAGAAAGAAAGAAAGAAAATTGAGAAGAAATGAAAAAAAAAAAAAAAGACGAATTTGAAAAAGAAAGAAAAAAAGAAAGAAAGAAAATTGAGAAGAAATGAAAAGAAAGAAAAAGACGAATTTGAGAAGAAAGAAAGAAAGAAAGAAAGAAAAAAAATTGAGAAGAAATGAAAAGAAAGAAAAAGACGAATTTGAGAAGAAAGAAAGAAAGAAAGAAAGAAAAAAGAAAGAAAAGAAAGAAAATGAGAAGAAATGAAAAGAAAGAAAAAGACGAATTTGAGAAGGAAGAAAGAAAGAAAGAAAGAAAAGAAAAAAAGAAGAAATGAAAAGAAAAAAAAGACGAATTTGAGAAGAAAAAAAAAAAAAAAAAAAAAGAAAGAAAATTGAAGAAAATGAAAAGAAAGAAAAAGAAATTTGAGAAGAAAGAAAGAAAAAAAAAAGAAGAAAGAAAGAAAATTGAGAAGAAATGAAAAGAAAAAGAAATTAGAGAAAAAAGAAAGAAAGAAAGAAAGAAAGAAAAAATGAGAAGAAATGAAAAGAAAGAAAAAGACGAATTTGAGAAGAAAAAAGAAAAGAAAAAAAAGAAAATTGAGAAAAAATGAAAAGAAAAAAAAACGAATTTGAGAAGAAAGAAAGAAAGAAAGAAAGAAAGAAAATTGAGAAGAAATGAAAAGAAAGAAAAGACGAATTTGAGAAGAAAAAAGAAAGAAAGAAAGAAAGAAAATTGAGAAGAAATGAAAAGAAAGAAAAGACGAATTTGAGAAGAAAGAAAGAAAGAAAGAAAAAAAGAAGAAATGAAAAAAAGAAAAAGCTGAAAAGAAAGAAAAAGAAAGAAAATTGAGAAAAGAAAAAGAAAAGACGAATTTGAGAAGAAAGAAAGAAAGAAAGAAAGAAAATTGAGAAGAAATGAAAAGAAAGAAAAGAAATTTGAGAAAATTGAAAAGAAAGAAAAATTGAGAAGAAATGAAAAGAAAGAAAAGACGAATTTGAGAAGAAAGAAAGAAAGAAAGAAAGAAAGAAAATTGAGAAGAAATGAAAAGAAAGAAAAAAAGACGAATTTGAGAAGAAAGAAAAAAGAAAGAAAAGAAAGAAAATTGAGAAGAAATGAAAAGAAAGAAAAAGACGAATTTGAGAAGAAAGAAAGAAAGAAAGAAAATTGAGAAGAAATGAAAAGAAAGAAAAAGACGAATTTGAGAAAGAAAGAAAAGAAAGAAAGAAAATTGAGAAGAAATGAAAAGAAAGAAAAAAAGACGAATTTGAGAGAAAGAAAGAAAGAAAGAAAAATGAGGAAAATGAAAAGAAAGAAAAATTTGAGAAGAAAAAAGAAAAGAAAGAAAAAGAAAAAAATGAAAAGAAATAAAAAGAAATTTGAAAGAAAGAAAGAAAGAAAATTGAGAAGAAATGAAAAGAAAGAAAAAGACGAATTTGAGAAGAAAGAAAGAAAGAAAGAAAGAAAAAAATTGAGAAGAAATGAAAAGAAAAAAAAGACGAATTTGAGAAAGAAAAGAAAAGAAAATTGAGAAGAAATGAAAAGAAAGAAAAAGACGAATTTGAGAAGAAAGAAAGAAAGAAAGAAAAGAAAATTGAGAAGAAATGAAAAGAAAGAAAAAGACGAATTTGAGAAGAAAGAAAGAAAGAAAGAAAGAAAGAAAATTGAGAAGAAATGAAAAGAAAAGAAAAAAGACGAATTTGAGAAGAAAGAAAGAAAAGAAAAGAAAAAAAATTGAGAAGAAATGAAAAGAAAGAAAAAGACGAATTTGAGAAGAAAGAAAGAAAGAAAGAAAGAAAGAAAATTGAGAAGAAATGAAAAGAAAGAAAAAGACGAATTTGAGAAGAAAGAAAGAAAGAAAGAAAATTGAGAAGAAATGAAAAGAAAGAAAAAGACGAATTTGAGAAGAAAGAAAGAAAGAAAGAAAGAAAATTGAGAAGAAATGAAAAGAAAGAAAAAGACGAATTTGAGAAGAAAGAAAGAAAGAAAAAATTAAGAAAAAAGAAAGAAAAATTGAGAAGAAATGAAAAGAAAGAAAAGACGAATTTGAGAAGAAAGAAAGAAAGAAAGAAAGAAAAGAAAATTGAGAAGAAATGAAAAGAAAGAAAAATACGAATTTGAGAAGAAAGAAAGAAAGAAAGAAAGAAAGAAAATTGTGAAGAAATGAAAAGAAAGAAAAAGATGAATTTGAGAAGAAAGAAAGAAAGAAAGAAAGAAAATTGAGAAGAAATGAAAAGAAAAAGACGAATTAGAGTAGAAAGAAAGAAAGTTTTTAAAAAAATGGAAACAAAAAGGACGCTTATATTTATAATCAGAAGAAAGAGTTAAAGTTTATTGGACAGATAATGAGGAAAGAAGACTTAGAAAATCTGATACTCACAGGATATAGTAAAGGCAAGAGAGATTGAGCAAAACAGCGATTAACCTATCTAACGTACTTTTATAAATGAATGGCAGAACAGGAGATTAGAGGAAGATTTTTTTTTTGTTAAAAAGATAAACATTGCTGACAGGTACAAAACATAGGGAGTTATGGAAAGCTGTGATTACTCTTCTCCTGAAAGAACACAACACATAAAAGAAGTTAAAGAAAGGTCGCATCAATTTTTACATCTGCCTTCAGTCTACTTTTAAAACTAGAAATAATGAAGAGTGTATCAACCCAGAATGTTATAATAAAAAGCAACAATAATAAGATGATGTAAAACGAATAAGAAAATAATAGTAATAATGAAGAGTGTATCGATCCAGAATCCTTTTATTAATCATTTCACCTCCAGCAAGGATATAAAGCCACTAAGACGGGTGTTATCGAGTGTTAGAGAATATGAGGAAAATTGCTATTAAGGGGGGAGTACAATAAAAGAACAAGTATTAAGAAGACATAAGATAACGACTGATATTGCATTTAAATTTTTAAAGATCAAAGTTTACAGGGAAGCCGGAAGAGAGTTCTATAATCGAGAAGTGCTATAACTCTAAATTGATGAGACCTTACCGCCAATCTAGTACTGCGCTTAAATTCATAAAGTCTAAATAACATAGATGCTGGGATAAAAGGCAATAATAATGAGGTGGGATAAAACTAGTAATAAAATAATATTAATAATGAAGACACTATGGACTCAGAGAGCTGGGATAAAAAGTAATAAGTGGTAATAAAATAATAATAATAATGTTTGTGTACATATGTCTATGTGTTTATGTGCATTTACGAAGGGCTATCGAATTGTGCGTCTGTATACATTTGAATATGTGTGTATGTGTATATGTGTTTTTATGTACGCGAGTATATAACAGTCTACTTATGTGTATGCATATACCTGTAGAATTAGTGCGTTTTATATGACCGCTGCTGCCGACATTTTTTTTTTGTCAATACGAACTCACGAATACGCATGCGCAACTTGCTATTCTCTGTCAGACAGGAAAATTTCTTAAATAACCACGATTTCTTCGCTAATATATTACAAAAATATCATAATTAATTTCACAATTAAGCCCAATTAAAAGATTATTTGATTTATTGTATTATTATTATTATTATTATTGTAATTTTCTTGTTTGTTTATTCATCTACACGATCTTATTGAAAGGTTAGCACCACATAACCTTCAGTCCGCATTTTTGAAAATGATAGAGATGTAAAGTTAAAATTATTTCTTCATTTAATGATGTATAATCTGTGTTTTTTATTATTTTTAATCATATAATAACGGTTGTAATTATTTTGTGCAATAAAGGCCATTCATCGTCTTTCTGAATAATCATTTTAACGCTATTGTTTAAAATATTAATACCAAAAAATCATTATTATTATTATTATTATTATTATTTGTGTATTTTATGTTTGCTGCTTTGTATCTGTTAGAGCTGAATCCAAACTATTGTTCGTAAAATTATCCATTCCTTTTCTTGCGAGGCTTAGAGTTCCGATTACTATTATTATTATTACTTTTATTTCCTTTGATTTCTGGCGTTTACACATTTCTTTCCGGGTCCCTCTCAGGGACCTAAGGTTAGAAATGGCATCATGACACTTTCCACTGACAAAAAAAATTACATAGATAAAGCCCATCGTAAAGTGTGGGCTGTACTTGTCAGAACAATTTTTTGTATCTCCTTGAGGCATGAGCTTCCAGGAATCCCTTCAATTAGGCTACTGGAATCTTTTCCAACCAATCCTAGGGCTTCAACTACAACAGGGATTATTGATGTTTCTATGTGCCACATTTTTGAGATTTCGATTTCAAGGTCCTTGTATTTTTACAGCTTTTTGAATATCTTCAAAGATACATTGCAGTCCGCAGGGACTGCTATATCAATAAGGAGGCACCGTTTTTGTTTGTGGTCTTTAATAACAATATCTGGGCGGTTGGCTTTGATTGTTCTGTCAGTGTGTATTGTGTAGTCCCATAGAATTGTAACAGGTTCTATCTCCGTAACCGGGTCTGGGTGTTGTTCATACCAGTTTCTTTCAGTTTTCTTCCCGTAGAAGTTGCAGATTTTCCAGTGCAGATATTGGCCAACTCCGCCATGCCGGGTTTTATACTCAGTGGGTGCCAATATTGTGCAACCTGATACAAGATGATCAATTTTTTCTGGATATTTATCACAGAATCTGCATTTTGGACTGACACAATATTATTATTATTATTATTGTTGTTGTTGTCTTCTTCTTTTGCGTTCTGTTTAGGACACTTTTTTACCGGGTCATTATCCTAGCAGTAAATATAAGCAATCTTCAGAAATTTTGATGCCAACTGATACCTTATATGTATGGCGTTCATATTTTCTTTATATAGATTATATTGTCAGTAGATAAGCATTGTCATGCATTGTATTTTTTAACAGCGTTGTAAACAGCGGCAACGGGAATCTTGTTAATGTTCTTCTTCGAAGCATTTTTAGACCATACACCAATTATTATAAAAGTACCAATCGTACTAATAAGTAAAAATAAGTAAAAAGTACTTTCAAGGATTTTTTTTTATTTTCAAATTCCTTGCATTTATTTAGAATACAATATTCTTTAACAAATATATAATTTTATCGGAAAGGCATACAGCCATATCACACTGAAACAACGGAGATAAGCAACGTCGAGCCTGGTCAGTTTCTCGATGGGTGACTACTTGGGAATAACAGGTGCTGTAAATTTGGATGTGAGGGTGGTGTAATGGCTCGAAATTGTTAATCGGAGAGCCGAATTTCAATTTCAGTTGCTTTCGTTATATTCACTAATATGCAAATACCTTTAGAAAAGGTATGATTCCATCCTTTCTCTCCCCAGCTATGGGTTAATTAGTAAGACTTGTATCGCTAAATCATTATTATTCTTACTATCTAAAAATATATTGTGACTTTCTTGCAATGGGTTGATAAATCGTAAAAAGGGAATCAATCAATCAATTTTGTCTGCTGATACTGCCATATATGAATAGCTGTCTGAAGTACTGCAAAGGGTATTTTTCTTTGCAGAGAAAGAAATGTTGAGCATCTTTAATGAGAAAGGCATCCCGATCATTTTTATGGGAATGGCATCACAAGCTACTACGCACATCCTTGTAATACATCTTTGAAGAGAAAGGCATCGCGATTATTATGAGAATGGCATCGTGAGCTTCTTCGCCGAGAAAGGTACTACGGATGTCTTCGATGTGTAAGGCATCGCGACTGTCTTTGATGTGAAAGCTAGCACAAGGATCTTTGACGAGAAAGGTGCCGCGTGCATCCTTGCTGAAGATGGCATCGTGAATATTTTTTCGAAGAAAGAACTCACAAGAATTTATAATGAGAATGACATCATGTACATCTTTGAGAAAAGAAACGCAAAAAGATTCTGAAGAAAGTAATCACGAGCACCATCGATAAGAAAGGCATCGGGAACATTTTTATTGAGGAAGACATCACGAACATCTTTGATGAGAAAGGTATCTACTAATATATACGCTTGGCCTACCGATCGTATTATCGTGAGCATAGTATGCATGCTGCGTAGCCTAACTGTTAATGACCGATGAAACGGAATTTGAGCCGAGAGATTTTGTGTTCACTTCGCCTTAATACCATTAGAAAAAGTATGAAACTACTTCCCCCTGTACCGTTGCAGAATTACTGGAGTAATTTTAACATTTTAAAACCGTCCATTTTGGGTTTTCGGCTGGAGAACAAATCGTTGATTACAACTGGCACATGACACAGTGGATAAACACGACCCAAAGAATGTGAGTTCAATACCCGGTTAAGGCAGTGGGGAACTTGGAGAGGGGAATTAACAGGAGATAACTGATAACTGACATCCATTAAACATGGCATGTGGAACTAGAACAGTCTACCCCAGTGAGAGAAATAAAGGGTTCAGTTCGACATTCCAACCACCTGAAGAACGCCGGAGTGTACAACGGCCGAAACGTTGTAATAAATATGACAATAGTCCGAATAATGTAAATAGTGTACATAATACCTCATCTCAGAAATATAGACAGATACTGAAAGGCCGAAACGTTGTGATAAATATGGCGACAAAGATGAGGACAATAGTCCGTATAATGTAAATAATGTACATAATGCCTCATCTCAGAAATATAGAAACATAACGGCACCAAGTAAAACTGTTGAGCGCTACTTGGGGTATTAAACACCGCCAAGTAACCCTCATTTACCTGAGAGAGTCTATGAAGGAGATTTAGTCAGCATGACACACCGGCGGTCTTATGGGTTACGGGAAACGAATGTAAAAATGTATGCGATATTTTTGAACACCTTTATTCTTCATTGTTGTCGGGTCTATTGTTTTGTCTTATTTTCTTGATAATGAACACGAAAAATAATTAATTCCGAATAAAATTTTTTTTTTTTTAAATTAGTATGAAAAATAAAAAAAATTATCGATAATGACAGACAGCTGATCTAATTTCGTCTTTACATAAAAACAAAACTCTTCAATAAATCGATTAGATGTTTTATCGATTTTTATTACTTCAAGGATTCTTTATCGTTATCAGCTTGAAATGATTCTTAACTGATTTTTATAATTCGATGGAATCGAATTTGTTTTTTGATAGTGTCCAAGGATGTCCACGGAGTTATACGAAAATCTATCGATTTAAAAACTATACAGTCATTGGACGACTGTATTTAATAATCAATGACGACATTAAATTGTTTGTTTCAATTTGATGCAAGAGTCCCTCTTCGGTTAATTTTGGCAGGCAACCCCCTGGAATATTTTCTGAGTCACAAAAATGTTATAATTGGTAGGGAGAGGGTGTTCTTAATTCCAGTGGTTTCTGAATTTCCAATAAATCTGTAAAGAGGTAAATTCTATAGAGTACCGTAATAAGACTTTCGATCTCTACACCAAAAGACATTAATTTCATCGCATTAAAATATCAGGCTTTGCTGTTCTAGTAATAATATATATATATATATATATATATATATATATATATATATATATATATATATATATATATAACCATTTACCTCAAAGAAAATAGGTTAAATTACAATGTTTACATTGGAATTTCTGCGGGTGAATGGAAACAAAGACTGTACACACATATGCACTCTTTTAACAACCCAAAATAAAAATATCGGACAGTTCTTCCAAAAAATTTTGAGAATTGAGTGAGAAATGTCTGAACCCTGAGATTGATGGAAAACTATAGGCTTCTCTCATACTACTAATAGTCTTAGCAATAGTTGTTACCTATGTTTAGAAGAGGAAATAATAAAATTCAGCAATCAAAGTAAACTATTAAATCAAAAGAATGAATTCGTTTTAAAATGTTGTCATAGAAGTAGGTTTAAACTTCTATAATATTTTTGATCTTTATTTTTTAATTATCTAATCCTTTTAGGGTAAACATATTACTATAGTTATTTCTATATTTTGCCTTCTCCATATCAATACTATCTTATAACATTCTACTACTTTATGAACTCCCTTTCCTTTGATTACTTAATTCTTTACCATTTTTTTTAAATGTTTTTTTTTTTATATATATTACTGAATATCGTTTATATTCTTAATAATATAAATTATCTTTAAAACTTTTAATGGTAAATATAATCATTTTTATTTTTCTTCATTCATTTTTTAATATATTCTTTCTTAATATAAACTATCTAAAAACGATTTACTGTTAATCTTATTATATCTTATTTGTAAATAATTTTAATTAATTTTTAGTGCGAATATATTTTTCATATAATTAATAATTAAAAATTTCGTTTTATAAAACTCCTTTTTGGTCTTTCTTTAGTTTCTCTTCATCTTTCTCATAACCGCAATTTTGGGTTTAGAGGTTTATATCTGGGTTGAATTTGTGTAGCTTCTTTCCTTTTTTAGATAGATGATTTCCGCCCACCTCTTACAACCATTCGGCCTGTCTGTCCTGTCTGCTGTATTATGGGTTGGCTCTGTATCAATTTTTTAAACTGTTGTCTTTCTTAAATATTAAATTTTAAATCTCATAAAATATAAATGTTAAATCTCTAGTTCCGACACTAAATACAATGCGCACACACACACACACACACACACACACATATATATATATATATATATATATATATATATATATATATATATATATATATGAATAAATATACTCTTATGTTGTGCTATATTTATGGAATAAAAGTGCTCAATATAATATCAAAAAGATAGAGGTATGTAAATTTTTTCATATATATATATATATATGAAAAGTGAACATTTACACACACACACACACACACACACACACACATATATATATATATATATATATATATATATATATATATATATATATATATATATATATGAGCAGTAATCCTGTAAACAAGTTTTGTTTAATTCAACCAAGATCTGCTTAATTTTTTCATTGCATTTCTCCAATTTACGAATAAGGTGTACATTGGGATAAAAAAAAATCAACATTAAATTCTTACAGAGGCCAGACCCGACCTCCCCTCTCTCGTAGGTTACTTGTCTCTTGTCGAAACTTTGTGCAATTCACACACACACATCGCTCGTCACATTACAAACAGACAAAATCAAACTACTAACATAAGACAAAAATGATGTAACAAGATACTATCTTCCTTTGTAAAGAAAGAAACACAAAATTCTAGAAGCTTTTAATATACAATAACGACCCAGATTACATATCTTTCACCACTGGTAAAGTATATTAAAGTGCGAATAAAATATTTAATACCCTATTTACATTATTCGGACTATTATCCTCATCTTTGTTGCCATATTTATCACAACATTTTCGGCTGCATTAACCAGGTATTGAACTCACAACTCTTTAGGTCCTGTCACTGGATCGAACAAACGCCTTCATCCATTTTCCCATGTGTCCTTTAAGCAATGGAGAACTTGGAGAGGTGAATTAACAGGAGATAAATGTTAACTGACATCTATTAGACACGGCACGTGGAACTTGAACAGTCTGCCCCAGCGAGCGAAATAAAGGGTTCTGAGTTCCATGTTCATTACAAGCTTTAGGTACTTCTAAACATTTATTGCTCTGTATTACCACATTGAGCGTTTTCTTAACAAAAAAAAAATGAAATAAAATATTTATTTACTAAATTTATAAAGGCACATGATTTATTTAATTCCAATATATATATATATATATATATATATATATATATATATATATATATATATATATATATATATATATATATATATATACACTACTAATTTTTAAATTTTAACCTAAAATACCGAAATAAGTGCATTATAAATAAAAATTACTGTGTAAAATAAACTGATTTTTATACATTCTTATTGAACTACATCTACGCACTCTCTCTCTCTCTCTCTCTCTCTCTCTCTATATATATATATATATATATATATATATATATATATATATGTCTTTGCGTCATTTGTAACTAGGCATGTTTGATATCGTTCAATTGATTTTTATACATTCTTATTGAACTACATCTACCTACACACACACACACACACTCTCTCTCTCTCTCTATATATATATATATATATATATATATATATATATATATGTTCTTTTGCGTCATGTGTAACTAGGCATGTTTGATATCGTTCAATTGTTCAGATCTCTTTTTCAAAGCTGGCAATAGCTCGTGGA